CATGTTCGGCGGGATCCCGCGTGTCCCGCCTGTTCCGGTCCAGCCAGGTTCTGTCACGCCACAGCGCCGCCCGCCCGCTGGCCTGGCCTCTCCACGCACAGGCCCGGGCAAGGGCTATTGCATCCGCAAGTGCGACTTTTGCAACAAGACGGTCACCATCGCGGCGCGGCTCGCGAATCAGAACTGCCCCGTGTGCATGAGTGCGGGCGGGCTCCGCAAGCCCTAACCAAGACCGTTTTGCCAGCCTTCGGCTTGCACAGGGAGAGCTGCGAAAGTGGCTCAGGCCTCAGCGTGGGTCGCGAGTGATCCCCCGAGCCGTGCGAGGCTTTTCCCCACGAGACTGGGCTTCTAGGAGCAAGTGGCGCGCACCACTCCCGTTCGAACGGTGTCTCTGCGTGTTACTGTGTCCGCTCTCGGCGCGGGGCGTGTGACAGGTGTGTGTCTGTCTGTGAAGGTGTCTGTGAGATTCGGCTTTCGGGGGGAGACACAGCTGCACTGTCTACTTGTATCTATTCGTTTTATGTTATCGGCTCGTGGGATGTCCCACTTTACCGTCGAGCGACGAGCCATCGGGTCGCGAGCTCGAAGACCCGCGCGGAGCGTCGCCGAGCCTGGCGTGCCCGCCCGCACGCCCACGGCCGCAGGCAAGCAAGGCGAGCTTCCTGGCGTCTATGCCAAGCCCGCACATGACAAAAGACACCTCACAGCGCGCGTGACGTGACCGTAGCCGCACGCCTCGGCGCCGCGAGAGCAGCCGGTCGACGTCGGCACCAAGCGCGCGGCCGCCGGGCGCCTCCGAACCGACAGGGGCGCCGCGGCAGTAGAGAGCACTCCACCCGCCATACCGTTGACTGAGGCGCCGTACCTCTCCACAGTCGGGATCTTGCAGCTGTGTCATCGGGTTATTTTTTTGACCGGGGCAGACCTTGATTGCTCGCGACTCGGCGCTCCAGGATGCTGCGCCGACCACTCTGCGCGCTCGGAAGGCCGTCCGCGCTGGCGCTGCTGCCGCGGGCATGCCGCGTGGCGCCGCGTGCACTCGCGATTCACCCACGCGCTGCCGCCGTCGCTCCGTGCCGCCAGCTCCACAGCAGCCTGCGCGCTAAAGAGGCGCCCGCAACAAACTGCATGTGCACTTGGCTGTTCTCTGCACGTGACTGCTTGCACACACGTAATAAATTCACTCCAGACATTTGTTGGTGATGCCAAGCGTGGCCTGTAGTGATGGCAGCATAGCAGCACTGCAAGACCACCGACTGTCGCGGCTCGCGGCCCATGCCTCCTCTCACCATGGCCACCGCGGGACGCTTCAGGAGGCTACCGCGCCGGCGGCTGAGGCCGCGACCGAGGAGGCGCTTGACTACAGCTACGAGGGTGTCCTCTTTGAGGGA